GTTCTTTCCGTCCTCTGCTGACCCCTCGCTGTTTGTGCGTTCCGGCCAGACTCCGTTCTACATCCTTGTCTATGTAGACAATCTGGTCTTCGCTACTGCTGACAGGGACGCACTGACCTCTGTGAAGGCCGAGCTGCTGAAGAGACACACCTGCATTGACCTTGGAGAGCTGCGTCGCTATCTTGGCCTGCAGATCTCTAGGGACAGAGCAGCACACACCATCACTCTGACACAGTCACACTTGCTGCGTCAGGTCCTTCAGAGGTTCGGTCTTCAGTTCTCCTCCGCACAGCCCACACCTCTACATGTAGACCATGGGCTCTCCGCTCCCGTTCCTGAGGAGCCCGTAGAGCCCAGTGGCCCCTACGCAGAGCTGGTGGGTTGCCTCATGTACCTGATGACTTGCACTCGCCCAGATCTCGCATACCCTCTAAGCATCCTGGCTCGCTTTGTTGCTACAGGCAGACTCCGACCTCACCACTGGTCTGCCGCTAAGAGGGTTTTGCGTTATCTTGCTAGTACATCAGGCATGGGGTTAGTGCTAGGAGGATGCAGGCCAGTGGTCCTTACTGGGCACACAGACGCTTCTTGGGCAGACGACTCTGAGACGCTCAGGTCGTCGCAGGGCTACTGCTTTAGCCTGGGTTCGGGTGCTATCTCTTGGAGATCCACTCGCTCGTCGTCTGTGGCTCAGTCCAGCTGTGAGGTTGAGATCTACGCTGGTGCCATGGCTGCACAGGAGCTCCGCTGGCTGACCTTCTTGCTCATAGACTTAGGTGAGCGGCCTAGCTCTGCCCCGGTCCTGTACGCTGACAACAGGGCCATGATACTCCTGTGTCAGGAGCCTCGGCTTGAGGGCAGAGCAAAGCATATTCAGCTGCGGTACTTCCTCGTGCGCGAGCTACAGCAGCGCCGCCAGGCCCGCGTAGTTCACTTGGCCTCCGGTGCCAACACAGCTGATATCTTTACGAAGGCGCTTGCGCCTAAAGATCATCAGCGGTACTGTGTACAGCTTGGTCTTGTTCCTGTAGCTACTCACCTGTTAGGATCCTGATTGTGTACTCTCTATTATATATGCCTGTCAGACTGGCCTTGTGGCCTTACCTCCAGTGGCTGGACTAGTAGTGCCGCCCTTGCTTGCTTTAGTCTTGTTTGTACCCTTGCTGACTGGTCTCCAGACCCCTGCCTCAGTGATTGGACTAGTAGTGCCACCCTGAGCTGTTTGCTTCTTGCTTAGCTTCACCCCTTGTCTAGCCTAGGGGGTGTGTCAACTTATACATGTTAGCTGTGTACAAGTTATAAGCTAGACTGGGGTATGCTTCTAGTGAGTACAACCCACTAGTATTTGTTCTAGGTTTCCACTTCTAGTTCATTATTCAGTTCTTACTTTAACATCTCATACCATGTTGGTCTGAGAAAAAGGCTTAGGATCTTTTCAGAGACTACCGTAATCCCCCGTATATAACACCCACCGGAATAGTCACTCCGTGGGTGGTTTATGCGGGGCAGAGCTTATGATAGGGTGCATTTAGGAGAGCACCCGCTTTTTTGACCTTGAATTTTACATAACACCCCCCACCTTGTTGCTAGTGTAATCGATACAATATTAAGAATTGAAGTACATCATGGAAGATTCTATAACGGCTGCATTTACAGGCCTCAAATTCTAGTCAAGAGTTAGCTACTGAAGCTACATCTAAACACTACTGCAAGATCTAGAGGGGCTCAAGCCCAGTCAGAAATCAGTCTAATACCTACTCCTCATCATCTTCGTCGTCCTCGTCGCCAGCGTGCCACGCCTCCACGTCGTCATTGTCGGACGCTATGTCATCCCAGTCATAGTCGTCTGTCCAGTTGGAGGCCGCGAGCCCAGCAAGCACCTCTGCCGCTGGCGCCATCTCAAAGGAGTCATCACTGGTCGCAGATGTTTCTGCTGCCGACGTTGCTGCTGTTGCTGCTGCTGTCGCGGCCGTCGCTGTTGCTGCAATAGCTGCTGCTGCTGCCGTCAGGCGCGCCTCCGCCATAGCGGAGGACTCTGCTACCTCGGCTGAGCCGGATGCCGTCGATGCAGCTTGGGGCACGTCGCTGTCGTCGTCGTCGTCGTCATCTTCGGACAGCTCGTCTGCGGCGGGCTCGACGAAGTCTGCTTCGTAGAGTGGATTTTTCTCGCCGCTCTCCTCCATTTCCGCGTGCACATCATCCATCACTTCCACATCTGACTTGTCCTTCATATGGGCGAGGATGAGTTCATCCTCCGTCCCATTAATGTCGGTGGAGATGCCGCAGGTTTTGAAGGCGTTTCGGATGAGCTCGGCAGAGACGGCCTCCCATGCGGTTGCGACCCACTGTAGCACCACCTCCGCGGGGGGCTTCTTGAGGTTTCCTGGCGGGGGCGCAGAGAGATAAGGCGGTAGAGAAGGCAGTCTTTAAGAGTCGGAAAAACTTAATCGATAAAAAGAGCAAGCGTCTGAATGGCCATGAATACGACGGAGCACACGTAATGAAAGCAGCGCGGAACGCAGGCACAGAGCGGCATCGACCTCACCTGCGGGTGTTGTTGAATCGCAGCCAACCTCTTCAAACCAACCTGTGTAGGACCGCCTCACATGCGCCTTCACACAGCGGTTGATAGCCACGTCGAGTGGCTGGACGATCGGCGTGCAGCCGCCAGGAATCACGGCCCTGGAGAGCTTGAAGAGGCGCATCGCGGCTGACACGCCCTCGGTCAGGTGCCCTTTGTAGCTGTCGAGGACGACGAGGGCTTTCGCTCGACCGCCACGCCTCGCAGGGATTCGCTTAAGGAACGGGACGAGCACTGCTGTGATCCAGTCCTTCACGTGCTCCTCGTCCATCCATCCTTTCGGCTGCGCACGGATGACGATGCCTGGACACAAAAAGACACAAGCATATCAGGCGGGGTCAAGAAAAAAAGGAAAACAACACGGATGGGACGGGGATTACGATAAACAGAGTCAATCAAACAACAAGATTCTAACTCACCAGGGGGGACTCGGATATTGGGCACGGTCTTCCGCTTGAATATGACATACGGCTTCAGCTTCTGTCCAGCAGCAGTGACCGCCAGCATGACGGTCAGCCGTTCCTTCTCGTAGCCGGCGGTGCGCACGTGCACCATCCTTGAGCCCCGGACCTCTAGCGTTGTCTCCTGCGGCATCTCCAGAAACAGAGGTGTTTGGTCGGCGTTGATTATCAAGTCGTCGGGGTAGCAGTTCAATTTCCGCATCTGACGCACAAACTCCCAAAACTTCTCCACTTTTGCCTCGCAATCTGCAAGCACAAAAAAATCAAGATCAAAAAACAGGTAGACAGGGAAGAACCCGCAAGAGTGAGAGTCAATTATGCAAGGAAAACGGCGTGGAAAGACTCAGAGCAAATGAAACTTACCGGATGTCAGGCGTTGTCCCATCTTGGTCTTCACACGCCTCGTCAAACCCCAGCGCGTGCGGAAACGGAAGGTCCATCGCGACGATGCTCGCCAATCGACTCCAGGGTGCCGCTTCTTCATGTACTTCCGACTCCACTTCTGCAGGCAGTTGATGGAGACTGCCAAGCCACGCGCGCGATGGGAGAGGAAGCGCTTGTACAGCTCGCGCTCCATGTCGGGAAACTTCGCCTTGCGCCCTGAGCCGACGAGACGACGCCTGCAGCCAGCAGCCGCCGCCAGTTTCACCTTGTTCTTCTTCCATTCGCGAATCTGACAGGGCTGGACATCCGCCATCCTTGCGAGCTTGCGGTTGGATAGATTAGGGTCGTCGTCAAGCTTGCGCAACCAGAAGAGCTTCTCGGCCGCCGTGCGTGAGACTCTTTTGCGCCTCGTCCTGCGATTTCTGGGGGAGGGAGGTGCGGCATCACGGTTAACGCGAGGCATGTTGGGACGACGCCTAGGCTGAGGGAAAGACGGAATAGCAACTCGAGGAAGTGTCGGCGGAGGCTCAGGCTCTCCGTCGGCAGCCTCCTCCCAGTACAAATCGTCCTCATCGTCTTGCCATGAGTTGTCCCATTCAGGCGGACGCCTGGGATTCGGCGACGAGGGAGCGGGAGGCGCGGGAGGTGCGGGAGGTGCAGGAGGTGCAGGTGGCGCAGGTGGAGCGGGAGGAGCAGGTGGTGCAGGTGGTGCCGGGGGAATCAACAAGAACGGACGGAGTAGGAACTGATTGCCGGAGAGAGGACGATGGGTGCGCAATACAGAGAGGCCGCTAAACGTACGCGCTGCCATGGCAGCACCTGAAAGGGAGATTGCTAGTCGAGGGACTAGTGCCCGAGCCTCTGTTAGAGAGCCCGGGCATCGTGACGGGTTTTGTGTCGAGAAACGAAAGCAGAACTGAAAAAGAACGCTGCGGTAAGAAAGGGATGAGCAAGAAACGTGGTTGGAACCCCAGCCCGGAGCGCGCACGGTCTTTCGCAAACCGGAAACACAATTGCATACCAGGTTCGATATGCCAAGTTGGAAGGGCATATTCCCTCAAGTCTGCTGCGTTGGCAGCATCCACCGCACGGTCAGCCGTTCTTACCCTGCGCTGGCAGCCTGTGGCTGCATTTTTACCGCTGGCAGGCACGGCCGCCTGGGATTGGCCACGCCTGGTCGTGCTGATATCGAATTCGACACGTATGCAACTGCATTCATATCGCCAACATCGTCTGAACAAGAACCGGTAGCTGTATAAGCCTTAAAACACTCAAATTCAAATTGCATTTTACATAACACATGGGCACTATATTTTTCCGGGCCACTGTTAAGACCCTGTCATATTTTTAGTGAATTTTAATATCCACCATAGGGTGTTATATACGGGGGATTACGGTAAGTCCCACTTGTACAAAACGCTTGAGTAGTGCAGCGGATGTGTTGAGTAGTTGAACCCTTGCACTAGTATGTGAGAGCAAGTGATTGATTATAAGAAACTAGCATACAACAATATATAGAAAGTAAGAAGTGAAGCAGTTGTAGAATACAGTTGAAGGAACAGTTATCGAGTCGCACAGCGACTCGATTGTCGGTTCGGTCACCACCCTTGCAGTCGCGACGGTCAATCGCAACCTCCGGTTGCGACCCTTCGAGTCCCTTCGCCCTTTCGTATTCTTTCGTCCAACCTCTTTGTGTAACCTCCGTTGACTCGCGTACCCGATACGACTTTCCTCGAGTGTAGTGTTACACTTCAGAAACGCTCAAGTCTTTGAGGTATTTCCAACAGCGTCGCGCAAAGCATGCGAGCTTTGCTCCCAGCGCAGTGCCGCGTGCCGGGCATTAGATCCACCCACGATGTTTGGAGGCGCACGCCTGTGGATCGCCGCTGGGAGCTTGGCTGGTGCTCATCTGACGGTGATAGGGTTGATTCTGCTGGCCGACACATACTGCGCGGAATGGTTCCAGTGTGGAGAGGCACACCATACTGATAAGCTGGGGGAAACCTCTACCATACTGATACTGAAGCCACATCTTGTGTGCCACAATTCACACTCTACATGTGTCAGCAGCCCGCTTTGCTACCGGGCACGAACAGTTGACATGCAAAGCGGTTCTAGTGTGCGAACACAGCTGATGCGGCCTTGCACCAGATCCAGCCGCCGCAGCACCGGTGCCAATGCCCAGCCCAAAGGCCCCTCGTCTGAACTGGATTCTGAGGATGAGTGCCAAGCATGCTGCCACGAGCGCGTAGACAACAAGTAGAGCGGCCCACTGCAGGCGCTGCTCCTCCCGCATGCGCGCCACAGCCGGCGCTGTAGGAGGTGCTGCACGAATGGCCTGGGCCAAGGACATGGCTGAGGTGCCGTGCTCCTCCCTGGGAGGTGGCAGTGAGGGAATGAGAGGGGAGCAGCCGAAGAGTGCACAAGGGAAAGGGAACGTGAAGACGGTGGCTCAGCATGACGTGGTGGTCACCTTGCTGAAAGCGACGCATCGCACAAGGATATTCCATGCATTAGGCAGCTCGTTGCATAATGCTGGGGACGACGAAATCACGCACGCTTGGATGCATGACACGCCCCAGCGGGGAGAGGAGAGAAGGAGAAACAGAGACAAAGAAAGCTTGCAGATGTGCACGTGTGTGTGAGTGTGCACAGGAGCACGAGCATCTGAGTGTGTGCGTGTCTGCGTGGGGGGGGGGGGAGGGGGGCAGGAAGGCATAGGACATTTGAGGAAGCCAGGAAGCGGCCATAGGTACCTGAGAGTGAGAGTGATGGAGCGCAGGAACGGCGCCTCAGAGTCCCCTTGCCCTCCCTGCTCCTGCGCGTCATGCGTGGATGAGACCCCAAGCGCTGAGCTCGCCACGTGCTCTAGACTGTGCAGCAACTCACCCACCATCCCATGCGCCCCACCACCCCCGCCCTTCATTTCTCCTTCACTCTCCCCCACTCCCTCCGTGCCCATCTGCCCCTCGCCTGGATCATGAGAGGTGCCAGTGCGAGGGGACAAAGTGCTGCCACGGGACGCGAGTGGCAGAGCATGGGTGGACGCAGCAGCGGGCAGCAGCGCATGCAGGGAGCAGTGCAGAAGCACTGGCGCCCCAGCGCTGCCTTCTCCCCCTCCCTCCTCCTCCTCCATCTGCACCCGCTCTCCCACGCCTTTGCACCCTCCCGCCTTCACCAGGCTTGCCAGGCGCCGTGCCTCCAGCGAGCAGTTGCACGGCAGTGCCGTGGCGTGGAAGCGCGGCGAGCGGCACGCGATGACGAGGGACACAGTGGTGAAGTGCCGCTGCACGTGCGCTGGAGGCGACGACAGGGATGCGGTGGAAGCAGAACTTGACGGGTGTGATGAAAGCTCTTGTGCTGCTGAGGCGCCATTGATTGCAGCAGCCGATGTACGGTTCCCTGCAGCATCGTCATCGTCATCATCATCACCAGCACCATCCCCACTCCCTCCATGTCCTTGTCCGTCCCCCTGCCCCCCCATTGACCCCGCGGGCAGCAGCAGCGGGGTGGTGGAAGGGGCGCCTTGGGTCGCCTGTGAGGGCAGCAGCAGCGTGGTGGAGCCGAAGGCAGCCACGCCCACCCTGCTGCGCCGCACGTGCAGGGCGGCAGAGACAGCTGGCAGCAGGGTGGGGAGGAAGGGGGGGACAGGCGGGTCGGTGGAGGGCGATGAGGATGAGTGAGCTGGCACTGGCGGCAGCACAGGGGCATGGCGGCCGGAGAACACCAGCTGCAGATGCAGGTGCCTGTACAGGGTCGACTCTGCTGCCCCTCGCTTCTCCTCACCGTCTACTGCTATGCCTGATGCCGCAGAACCAGGTTGCTCCCCCCCGTCCCTGCCTGCACCTGCTGCCCCCACACCCTCCGCCCTCGTTTCTGTAGCCCGCCCCCCTTCCTGGTACACATCCCCCAGCGCCCCCCCGCCCTGCAGCGTCTCCTCCAGGTCCGACAGAACACGCTGCCCGCTCCGCCCCTTGCACCGCCACCGGATGCTGGAATACTGCCTGGAAGCTTCCTTGATGCTGCCGGCGTGGCGGCACCACCACTGGTGGCTGGGAATGACTGGCCGCTGCTGGGACAGGAGAACGCTGCCTATGGCGCCCACGCTCCCACTGCCACCACTGCTGCTGGATGGAGCTTTCCCTTCGCCCCCCTCACTGTTTCCTTCACCTTTTTCCTCCTCCGTTTCCTCTTCCTCCTCCTCTTCCGCCGGCCCACTGCTCTCCAACCTCTCCCTCTCACTCCCTCCAAACCATGACGCCAGCTCGCCTCTGCCTGCCTCACCCCCAGCCGCCGCCCCTCCCAGCAGCACCCCCCGAGTCACGGCATCCCACCACTCCTCCTCACCACCCCCCAACGCCCACCCCTGCTGCCCAACCTTCCCCCCCTCCTGCCCCACCCCATTCGACTCGACCACCTGCTTCCCCTCCTCCGTCTCTTCCACTCCCCCCTCCTCCTCTGCCTCCTCCTCTCTCTTTCCATTGCCCTCCACCGGCTCCTCCCTCCGCCCCTGCGCTTCCGCTGAGTCCTTCCTAGGATTGCTGCTCATACCCTTACTGCTGCTCCCCTCATCGTCAACCCCCCTGCCATCGTTCCCACTGCTGCTGCGCACCCTGCCAGTGATCTCTTTGGTTCGGTTGCCGTACCTAGAGTCTAGGTCCGGTGTGGCTCTAGCCTCAGCAGAGGCGCGGGAAGGAGCAGCAGAGGAGGGGGTGTGAGACTGCGGGGGAACTTGCGGTGTGGGTTGGGAGTCCGCCAGGTTCTGGGCTGGGGAGCTCGACAGGGCAGCAGCGGGTGTTAGCAACGATGGTGGGGCGGCAGCAGCATTGGCGCGCAGGGGGCAGTTGTGGGTGGCGAACCCGATGCGGTGGTGCTCCCTGTCGTACGTCACTCGCATACCCCGCACTGCCACGCCTGATGCCGTGCCGTGCACGCCGTACACACACACCACACACACGCAGCGCACGCACACACAGGCACACATATGCAAGCAACCACAGGAAGGCGTTGCGCAGATGGTATAAGGAGCAGATGTGGCACAAACAATCAGGCACATGGAACATCGTGCTTGTAGGTTGTGATGTGTGATGTGCGGTGTGCCTTTGTGGCCCCGGCAAGCTTGGCAGGGGTCACCTATGAAACACCAACAAGCCACCAGCATTGCGCTTTGAGCGGCTGGTGGCTTTCGTCACTGTGCATCCCTCTTTACAGCCCGTGCGCTCATGGCTCGTGCGCACGGCTAAGAATAGGGACACCAACACCGCCACCCCTCGCACTCCACTTGCTCCACTCCGCGCCACCAGCAACACCATAACACCCACCATAACACCCACAGCTCCGTGCTTGCCTCCCCAGGCAAGTAAGCTCCCCCGTCTCCAGGTAATCACAAACTTGTAACTTTTCCGAAAGCAGCTTATGTGAACAACTGCCATCAGCCTCACAAGGAGTGCTCCCGGTAGCCTTCCCCTATCAGCTCCTGCATCTCTACCTTCTTTTGCGAGAAGCCCTTCTGCACCTCTTAAAAGAGTGATAACTAACTTACTAGCCTATTCTTGCATTACCTCCTATGAGCGCGCCCCCGTTGCCGTTGTCAAACACGCCCAGGCAAACCGCGTCCTCATGCTTCTTGTGCTGGAAGGGATGGCAGAGGTCAGAGGGGGAGAGGGGGCAGCAGAGGTAGGACAACAGAAGACAGTGAGGAGAAGCGGCAGGTGGCCTTGATACCAGGTCGAAAGCAGAAGGTTGGGGATGGGGGGAATGATTCGGCAAGGGCATGGCATGGCAATGAACATAGAGGCGGGATGAATTGTGCCGGTGAGTGAGGAGATACGAACGTAGAGAGAGGCCCGAGGAGGGAAGCAGAGGCAAAGCACAGAGAATTGAAGAGGAAAGAGATATATAATGAACAGTGGAAAGGAGTGAAAAGGAAAGAGATATATAATGAACAGTGGAAAGGAGTGAGGAGGAAAGAGATATATAATGAACAGTGGAAAGGAGTGAGGAGGAAAGAGATGGAGCGTGCATGCAGCATGAGGGAGGGCGGGCGGACCTTGAAGAGGTAGTTGTGCGGCATGAGCAGCAGCGATGCGCCGTTGCGGAACACGATGGTGGACGTCGGGAAGACGCCGTTCATGCCGCCACCACTGCAGGAGGGGGAGAGAAGGTGGGGTGAGAGTTGCAGGGAAAGGAAGCGGGTGGCTGGTGAGTGTGGAGGGGGAGATGCTGGCCCTTATCAATCAGAAAACGAGGGGCTGCTTGTGGTGTGCAGCGTGGCAACAGGAGCTTGCAAAGCCCTGTGGCAAGGGCGGCAATATGCTGGAACCCAGCAATGATGAGGCGGCGAGAGGGGCTGGGAAGAGAAACGTGCGAGGCGAGTGGATAGATCCAACAATGATGGAACATGCATTGCCAGGGAGCACTTCTCCAAGGGTTCGAGCTGAAGAGTAAACATCGGCAACGAGACAAGCCGCTGCTCCGCTCGTCCGGCTCGGCTCATGCATGTGATGAGCCGAACCCCCTGGATCGATCTTGCGGCTCGGGTCGAGCCGACACAAGCAGCGCGCCAGGCTCGACTCGTCGAAGCGGCAAGGCGGGCCTGGCTCGTCGACTGGCGAGGCTCGGCGCGAGACCTGTGGCGGCTTGACCATGACGAGCGGATCTGGCGGCTCTGCACCAGTGCCGACCTCTCCACGAGGCACTCCGAGCCGGCTCCGCTCAAGGACGGATCCGGCTCGACCTTTAAACACGAGCTACGAAGCGGGGTCCTCGGCCAGCCCGTTGGTGTGGAGGCGGCTTGGCTCAGGTCGTGGAAGCGACGAGGCGAGCCGGACTCGACTCCAGCAGGCTCAAGTTTGAGCCGTGGTCATCTACTTAAGAGGATGGACTTGAGCGTTGGATTAATACGAGGATGAAGTAGTTTCGCCTTAAAGAGCCCTCCATCAACACGTGAGAGCGATGGGAAAGAGCGGTTGGGGCTGACCTGGAGACGTTGGCGAAGCAGATGTCGGTGTAGCGGGCATCTGGGCCGGGCACCTGGGGGAGCGACACCGCCGCCAGCACCTGATGGCGGAGAGTCGGAGGGGAGACGAGGGTGGCATGCAGCGCGGAGTGGATAGATGTGGCATCGCCACACACTCGTCCCCTCACGGCATGGGATTGAGAGAGTGCGAGTGGACGTTTGGATAGCATGAAAGCAGTGCCAACACTCACATCATCCCTCCAAGTCATAATCTACCTCCACTCCCACAACCAGTGCACCCACGTGCCCTCTTGCCCTCTGCCACTCATACCCTGCCAGCCCAGCTGCTCTAACCAGCACAAGGCACACATGCACTGACCAGCACAAGGCACACATGCACTGACCAGCACAAGGCACACATGCACTGACCAGCACAAGGCACACATGCACTGACCAGCGCAGTGAAGGCGTGGAAGGCGAGCGACGGCAGGTACGTGAAGGTGGTGCCGCTGTCCAGCATCACCCCCCCGTACGGCCCCTCCTCCCACACCGCCTCCGGCACCCGCACCCGCTGCCGCCCCACCAGCATCTCCTCCACGCTCACTATGTAGTAGGGCGACTCCCTGTAGGGGGGATGCAAGGGGCGGGATGGGGAGGGATGGGCAGGGATGGGCAGGGATGGGGAGGGATGGGCAGGGATGGGCAGGGATGGGGAGGGATGGGCAGGGATGGGGCAGGGATGAGGAGGGGGGAAACACTGAGTGCGGGAATGGGGAGTCCCTGAAAGGGGGATGACAGGGGAGCGATCGGACGACACGGTGGAAGTGCTGCAGTGCAGACGATGGCACGCAGGGAGGATGACACAGGAGCAAGGCAGCATGCGGTGAGAGAGAGAAGAGAGGAGAGAGGGGTGGCGGGGGATGAGGAGGTTCATTGACATGCCCCTCTGCACGCTGCTTGCAGCAGCAACAGACTGCCTTCAACAAGCTTGCAGGTACTGCCACTCACCGTGACATGGGGTGCAGCGGTGTCCAGATGGTGCCGGGCAGCTCCTCACTGCGCCCCAGAATCAGCTCTCCCCCCTCCCCCTCCGCATCCACGCTCCCTCCCTGCGCCTGCCCATGCGCAATGCCTGCCCCCGCTCCTCCATCCAGCTTGCCGCCACCATGGCTACTCCTGTTCACCATATAGGCTGCATCAATATAAGCTCCAGCCTCAACAGCAGACGCAGCACCACCACCACCAACGGCAGCAGCAGCATGAGCAACAGCGGCAGCGGTGGAGGCAGCGGGGGCAGCGAAGCAGAGGGAGAAGACGTCCTCTCGCATGACTCCGGCGCGCATGAGCTGGTTGGGCAGCGACAGCGCGTCGCGCCCCAGCCCCACTATGCCGTCCGCCTGCTGCAGATACAGGTCGCCCGTCTCCTGCAGCTCGCACCTGGATTGCAGACAGGGGGGACGGGGAGGCATGGGAGTGGGGGAGGACGCATGACGAGCATGCAAGACAGCGCGCCCCTGCCCAGCCCTGCGACGCCATCTGCCATCCGCCTGCTGCCTGCTGCACATCCCCTGCTTCCAGGAGCTCGCACCTCAAGGGAGAGGAGGGGTGGGGCGAGGGGGGATTGATGGGTTGGGGCAGTGGGGTGGGGAAACATGTGGGCGCAGTTGAAAGGGGTGGCAGTGCTTGGGGGTGAGGGGGGAGGAGGTTCAGAGCACGGGCGGACGGGAAAAGGGGGGAGGGGAAAAGGGGGGACGGGACGGACCGGGGTTGCGACTCACCCGAACACAAATCTTGGGCCGCCAGGTGCAGCTTGCTCTGCTGACTGTGACACTTGCTCTCCCTCCTCGCTCCCACCATTCCCCACGCCTTCTTGCGTCGCTCTCCCCATGCCGGCAACTCCACGGCCCGCCACAGTCCCGCCTTCACTCGCCACCAGCACTCTCTCGCCCGCCGTGCCCGCTGCCTGGCTGGGCAACGAGGCATTGAGCGGCACGGCAGCTGCTGTAGGAGCCGAGACAGCAGCAGGAGCAGCAGGATGGGCAAGGGCGGCAGCAGCACCAGCGGCAGAGGACTGCTGCTCTGCAAGCGAGTGGTGACTTGCAAGTGACCTGTGTGCGTGCACATGCGCAACAGCACCCTCTTCAGCGTGCATGGGGGAAGGCGTGAGGGCCAGTGAGTGGGTGGGCGCCGAGGACGGCGGGGTGGGAGCAGGCGGGCTGAAGGAGAGCACGTCGGTGGCCAGCAGCCCGCGAGTGGAGCTGGACTCGGCGTAGATGCCGTGGTACGTGCACAGCCCCGAGGGCGCGCACGAGTGTGTGAGGCACTGGGAGTGCGCGCAGGGGATGGTGGCGTACGACGCCGACAGCGACGGGTTGAAGCGCGGGTCCTGGCGGGGTGGAGGAGGGTGGGGGATGAGAGGAGGGAGGACACAAGGGGAAGGAAGAGACAGGGGAGGATGAGAATGGGGAGGATGAGAATGGGGAGGGTGACAATGGGGAGGATGAGAATGGGGAGGGTGAGAATGGGGAGGGTGAGAATGGGGAGGGTGAGGAGGGGGAGGGTGAGAGCAGTGGGCCAAGTTGGGTACAGAAGTGGGTGGATGGGTGCACTCAACTCAAGCATGAGCGCACACACACAGTAGAGAAGCACCCACCATCTGCCATGCTCTCCCTTGCTTCATACCACACCGCCTAGAAATTGCTGCCTGAACCAGCAACCTGGGCTTGGTGGTCACAAACTCCCTCCCCTGCCTGGTGGTTACCGCGTCGCACCTGGTTTGGTTACCGCGTCGCACCTGGTGTGGTTACCGCGTCGCACCTGGTGGTTACCGCAGTGCGTGCATGCGGCGCAGGGCACGTAGGTGATGCTGCTGCCCGTGTCCGCTATCAGCGCGAAGCGCTGCGGGGGCGACCCCAGGTACAGCGTCACGTAGTAGTACCTGGGGGGGGTGGGAGGGGAGAGGGACGGGGGGGAGGTGGAGAGGGAAAGGGCGTGGCAGGTTGGGGTGAAGGGAGGCTGGGGCGAGGAGAGGGGTGGTGAAGGAGAGGGTGAGGCGTGTGAGTGGGAGGGGGAGAACGGGGCGGAGGCGCTAGAGCGAGAGCAGCAGCCCGACACCGTCACGCGCATCAACGCCCACCCGCGCCTGAGTGTAACCCTAACTCCGCCATGCACGCCTTCAATCCGCTCACTCTACCGTCGCCTCCTTCCGCCGTCACCCCAGCCCCACCCACCCACTCGCCCGCCACTCACCCACGCGCCCGCCCACGCGCCCGCCACTCACCCACGCGCTCGCCACTCACCCACGCGCGCGCCACCCAACCATGCGCGCGCCACTCACCCACGCGCGCGCCACTCACCCCAGCTCCAGCACGGATCCCCGCAGGTCAAGCGGCAGCCCACGCAACTGCCGCCTCTGCGTTCCCGCCTCCCCGCCTCCGCCCGCTCTCCGCGCCTCCTCTTCGCCTGCCCGCTCTCCCCCGCCTGTCTTCCTCTCCCGCGAGTTCCCCCGCCGCACCAGCCGCTGCAGGGGCAGCACTAAGGGCGCAGCCTTCACCGCGACCGTTTCCCGTATCCGCCCCGTGAGGGGCATCCCCCCTTGCAATCCCCCTTGCGCTTTTCCTCCCCCCTCTTCCCCCGCTTCCCCCTCCAACAACTCCGCGATTTCCGCCGCAAACTGCGGGCTCGAGGCGGCCCCAGCCGGCGTGGAAGTCGACCCTATAAGTTCGACCGCTGCGACGATCGGCGCTTCGCCAGTCGCCGGCGACGTCGTCGGGTCCACGCTGCCCGCGCCGGTCCCTGCGTCGCCCGCGGCAGTGGTCGCCGCATTAGTCTCGGCATTTATCCAATGTTCCTTCGCCATACTATCAACCGTTACTCCGCTAACAAACGCTTCGCGTATTCTCTCGCGCGCACCCGAGCGGCGCTGGCCCGCGTCCGCGGGGACGGGGCTGGCGCCCATGGAGAGCACGACGCGCGACTGAACGAATGCGCGCGGCGACGCGACGAGCAGCAGGAGAACCGCAGGGAGCGCGAGGAGGCGGCGGTATAGAGGGCGCCGGGGTCCGGTGCAGAACGTGAGAGCCATGGCGAGAAACACTCTGCGGTGCCGGTTACGAGCAACGACTCCCTCTAGTCACTCGGCGCCGCGACCGCTTACAGGCATCTCCCCCCACGGGGATGGTATAGTCGGGCTGCACTTATTCTACTCCAGGCGCTATGCTGCCGGCCTGCCGTGAATCCCGCGATGCGACCGATGCGGACTGGATGGCGACAGTACCGCCAGTAGAGTGGGTGCGGACTGGATGGCGAAACCTGGAGAGCAGCGCAACGAGTGCTACGCACGGACCCAGTGCCGCCCAACAACAGGCCTAGTCACGACAGTTGTGGCCTAATAGCGTGACACCATAATATGGCGCGCTTTCGGGACTCCCCAGTTCACGCGAGAGAGGAAAGAGCGGTTCGAGGAGTGCGCGTAGGTGTGGCTGGAGAAGGGTTGCCGCTGCGGCGAGCCTACCAAGGGATAGCGCAAGCAGGCCAAAGACTGGACGATAGATAGACTTGGCTTGGAGATGGATTCCGGTTCTCCTGAAGTGATGGTGGGGGTGGGGGGGGGGGTGAGGGTACAGTAGAGGAGGAACGAAGCAGCGACAAGAGCAGAGCTGAGAGCAGGCCTTTTCTCATGGCGGGCGCACTGCACGGAATGACCCTAATTGCCTCGCCCACTCAAGGCGCAGGTGATTCTGCTCTCCCTACCCCACGGCAGCACCACCGTCGAAACCAACCCCCCCTCGTCCGTTCACTTCACATCCAACCCTTGGCATGGCAGGCGGGGGCAGAGCATTGCTCGCCCTCAGCCGCCAACTTCGACGGGCAGTTCTTCTCATGGCTGTCGGATGTCGTTTCGCCGCTTTGGCGAATTTCGTTCACACACTCAGCACGCATCGCACCGCTTCGCCAGCGCCAAGCGAATTGGGAAGGTGGAGGCTGGATTGAGACTGTGCTGGTGGCGAGTGGGACACATGATGCGGCGTGTGGCTGGTTGGCCAGACAGCGCCTCCCATTGGTGCGACACCTGATGGATTGGTCGCCAGCAAGGCGGGAATAACCCAAAATGACTGACCCATTAGAGAGATTCGATTCGAGTGTAAATTTCTTTAGTAACCACATAAGCATGTAAGGATAGGTGAGCAAAACATCTGAATATGTATATGGTCAATTGGCATCAAATTTCACGAAGATTACGCTTCCATCGCATTGCATGTATGTGTATAACTGGATATGGATATGTATTTGTATACGTGTATATGCATACGTAATGTATAATGTATATGTTCATGTGTATAAATACTGGATATCGCAATACCGCGGTTCCATGGTCTCGTCTCATTGTTTGGGTCTGGTTCAGCGAGGCGAGGTAGCTTGCACTAGACCAGTTTCTAGGACTCCAAATTATGCGGGCTATATGCTCCAGGCTGAGCTGAAGAACGCAGAACGTGATTGGCTGCTGTGGCGTCAAATCAAGCCCTCGCATGATTTTTGACATTTCCCTCGTCAGTGCCGTCTATTTAGCAAAGTTCCCTCTTCGCTGATGTACCGTGTTGCACATTAGGCCGCCAAAATGCCTCGCGACAAGGCGTCGTCGCATCGTTCCTCCTCCAGCTCTCGCTCACAGTCGCAATCCCATTCGCGAACGCAGCCTCAGTCACATTCTAGCCATTCGAATCGAGGTGAGCTGCGCGGTAGCAGCAGCGACGACAGCGCCCTTCACAATGAGGGCATGACGGCGCAGCGATCAGAATACGGCGGCGCGAGCCTCGCGTCGCCAACGGTTGCCACCATCCTCGTTAGTAGCGTCGACCGTGGCGATCTCAGTGACGAATTCCCTTTCGTTACAAGCAGCAGAAGCGGGAGCCATCACAGCGCGTATGGGGGAAGGGGGAAACGAGGAGTAGGGGGAAGGGGAGGGGGAGGAGGGGAAGACGCGGTGAGCGATGGCGAGTTACAGCCGTTCATTCGATCGCACCACGCCGCCACGCCATTGCCTAACCAACCGGAGATCGAACTCGAACATCCGTCCGCGGACCTCCCCTCCCCCTCCGCCTTCCTCCCCCCGATGAGCCCCGAGTCCATCCCCCTCGGCCTCTCCTCGCTCCGCTCCCTCTCCGCACTTTCCGCCACCCCCCTCTGGCCGCCTCCACCAGTTGCGGAGTGGCCTCGAGCCGCCGCCGAACACGGGCCGCGAATTGCGGCTGCTGCAGTGGAGGTTGCAGATAGGCTGCTGTCTACAGTGCCGCCCCTGCTGACGCAGGCGCTGACGTCAGCGGCAGGAGGGGTGCACCGGTTTCTGCAGCGGTATAGCGTGTATGTGACCGTAGCGAATGCTGCAAGGCCGGTTCTGAGGCCCGTCGTGGACAAAGTGCAAGAGGTTCTTGATAAGGTACAGCTCAGACGAACATAATGAATATAAATAGTTTGTGCTGCGGACATCGGTATTACCACCCACTTGTTGTATTAGGGGCAGTTTGACTCCCCCCCTCTGCCCCAAGCGTCCCCCACCGGCCACGTTCAGAACCCACCCCATGCGCCCTGTGATCCACAAGCCCTCACCACAGGCCCCACCCCACCCATACCCCAACCTCCATCACTCCTCCTCCTCCCTCACCCCTTCCCCCAACCGCCCCCCCTCCCCTTGTCCCCCAGATTCCCCCCATGACCACCCTCCCCGGGCGCCTGATATGGCTGGCGCTGCTGCTGCTGCTCGCGCTGCTGGCGGCCGCGCTGCCGTCCTTCGCCTCCACGCTGCACGACCCCACCTACTACTCCGCCGCCTCCTTCCCGCGCCGCATCCCCGTGCTCGGCGATGGCGGCTCCGCCCCGGTCTTCTCTGACGCCGGCTTCAATGTGGAGGCCGCCGCCAAGTGAGTGTGCCTGTAACCAAGGCAATAAGGGGAGGGGTGCACTCATTTGTGAGTGTGCCTATAACTGGGGCTGATAACTACAAGTGCAGCCGTTGGCAGATGTGATTGTGGTTGCTGCAACCCCGCCTACCACTCTATCTCATCCCCGTCATATCCCCGTGCTGGGTGATGGCGGGTCGCGGCCTGCCATGCTGGCTTCAGTGTGGAGCGGGTGAGGTCATGGGTGCTGCTGCCTGAATGCACTCTGCTGACTCTGATCTTCTCACACACACACGTGTCTCTCTGACCGACTGTGGGCCCTGCAGCTCGGAGGCCTTGATGCAAGGACGTGAAAGTGCATCGGGTGTCGACTGGACTGTGCTCATTGCCTGGTTGGTAGCACCACACTGTGTTGCTCTCTGCCCGCTCCGCCTTGCCTCCCCCGCTTTTCCCTCATGTCAACCTCTTTCCTGCCGCGCCCTCTGTCCGAGGAACATCCTGAATTATTCCGCCCCTCGCCCCTCGCCCCTCACTCCCATGCAGGATGTGGGAGGCCAAGGTGGGGTGTGCGCGTTTCCGCTGGAAGCACCGCGGCGTGCTGAGGAAGTACTCGTACTCCGCCGCCTTCCCCAGGAGCCCCAGCCTGCAGGTGCGACTTGCCTGAGGCTCTGGTCTGGAGCCAGCAGCAGGACTCACCTGGTGGCTCCACGCATTGGTTGCAGCTGCCGTGGCGCTTCATTGTGTTGAAAGTCTGGGGTTTCACGGGCATGAGGGTTCGGGATGAATCTTTTGTTTGCTTGGGGGTTAATGTTGTGGATGCAGCCGACTCGTGGCTGTACGCACATGCGCCCTGTGGTTGCATACAGGTGCGGCATGCGAGCACACACTCCTGTTCCTCCTTTCGTCCCCCCAGTGCCATGCCACTGCCGCTGTGGCCTCACGGTGCCACAGCCTCACGATGCCACAGCCTCACGTGGCGCTGTGAAGTGCAATCCCGCTCAATGCAACAACTCGACCGTCGTGGGTTGAATGGGCAGGCGGGCACGGCAAATCATGGAAGGAGTGACTTTTGAGGCGCCTCAAAAGGCAAACCATGGAAGGAGTGACAGTGAGGGCCGCGAATGATACACGGCTCCATGCTTCCTCCCAACTCAGGGCGCGCCTCTTGCATGTGCGCTGTTCCATCCCCCCTGGCCTCTCCTCCATGCTCCCGGTTGACGCACTTCCATCAGGACCCGAGTCACGTGCAGTGCAGCGGCATGCAGCTGCGCCATGTCACCATCCTGCTGCCGCCCGGCGCCGAGTCGTGGATGTGGCCGCACAAGCTCGAGGGCTTCTACCACTGCCCCCGATGCGGCATCACCTGCCAGGTACCCGTTGCTTTCACCTGCCGTGTTTTCTGTTGATTTACTCTGCTAGGTACTCTGTTAGTTTCACCTGCCGGATATTCTGTTGCTTTCACCTGGAAGGTATGCTAATGTCACCTGGCAGGTATGTTGATGCCACCTGCCAGGTCAGCTGGTTTCACCCCTGCCAGGGTTGTTGGATTCACCTGGCAGGTCTCTGTTGTTTCACCTGTCGGGATGCTGGCTTCTCCTGCCAGGCAAAACATCCAGGTAGGGTGTTTGGATGTGCGGGTGTTCTGAACGTGCTCTGTTCGTGGAAACACGTGCTTCAATCCTACTCCTGGAACACTCCTGGAACCCTACTCCTGCTCCTGCTAGTGGGCGCACAGCAGCAGGTGTAGGCTGGGTTTCCAGATGCGAATCACTTGGCCGCATGCACGTGGCACGAGGCACAGCCTGCTCGTTTGTCATCTCTTCTCCCGGTGCCACAGGCTCATGCCACCCTGCACCCTTTACAACCTGCACCCTGCACCTTGCACACACTGCACGTGTGGCCGCCCCTCTCCCGGGCTTTACCAGCATCCCCCACCTCTGGCTTCTCCCCCCCTCGCTCCCCTGGGCTTTCCCTGCGGCCAGGACCCTCGCCGATCCCACGCGAGGGGAGCAGAGACTCTGCGTGCACACCTCAACCTAACTCCCTCCCTCCCTCTCTCCTCCCTCTTCCCCTCTCCTCCCCCTTATGCCCACTGGTTCCTCCCCATTATGCCCACTGGTTCCTCCCCCTTATGCCCACTGGTTCCTCCCCCTTATGCCCACTGGTTCCTCCCCCTTATGCCCACTGGTTCCTCCCCCTTATGCCCACTGGTTCCTCCCCCTTATGCCCACTGGTTCCTCCCCCTTATGCCCACTGGTTCCTCCCCCTTATGCCCACTGGTTCCTCCCCCTTATGCCCACTGGTTCCTCCCCTTATGCCCACTGGTTCCTCCCCCTTATGCCCACTGGTTCCTCCCCTTATGCCCACTGGTTCCTCCCCTTATGCCCACTGGTTCCTCCCCTTATGCCCACTGGTTCCTCCCAATGCCTCTACAAGCGGATTTCGCCCGCCACGTGTGGTCTGGCCCTCAGAGCCCCTGGCAGACGGGAGCAGAGGCATGTATAACTGAACTTCCAGGTCGCTGACCTCGTCCTCGTTCTGCCTTGTCCTCTTCCCACCTCACCCCTCCAGACCTGGCCCTCCTTACAGATGCATGCTGCTCGTCTGGCTGGCAGAGCCCACTGTAGGGAGGAGCAGAGGCGCATGCACCTGACCTGGCCCTCATGTCTGGCCCCTCCTCCCATCTCCGCGCTCCACATCCCCCTCCACACTCTCTGCCCCACCCTCATGGCCCTCCAAGCCGACGCCACGCTGCATGTGGCCCGCAGAGCCCCCTGCAGAGAGGGAGCATTGGAGGGCACCCGCTGATGGTGCATCTGTACCTTAGTCCGCTCCACCGGCCCCCCTCCTTCCCCTTCCGCCCACCCTCCAGGTCTCCTGGTCCCACTCATGGCCCTGCGAGCACACTGCACTGCACCCTCCACCTGTCGTCCGCACAGCCCCACAGGATCCTTTGACCCCTTTCACCATTTCTGCCTTCATCGTCCCCCTCCCTGTGAGGCCCGCAGAGCCCCCCCCAAATCCGTAATCCCCCTCCTTTATTCCTGCTTCCCTCGCCCTCATTCAATCCCCCTCTCCCCCCCTCTCCCCTGCAGACCTCCTGCCGCCCCTCATGGCACTGCATGCAGACGCCACCCTCCACGTGTGTCCGGCAGAGCCCCGCGCAGCAAGAACACTCGAACCCCTAATCCGCCCCCACTGCCCCCCTCCCCCCTCTCCGTTGCAGATCCCCTGGTCTCCTCTCATGGCCCTTCAGGCAGACGCCACGCTGCATGTGTGGCCCGCAGAGCCCCCTGCAGAAAGGGCCCTTTGAGCGGAATTCGTTCCCACCATCCCCCTTTCCCCTTCCCTGCAGCTCTCCTGGTCGCCCCTCATGGCGCTGCACGCTGACGCCACGCTGCACGTGTGGCCCGCAGAGGCCCCCGCAGAGAGGAGGCGCGGGCAGGCGCTGCGGGCGTACCTGAACCTGGAGTCGTGGGGGTTACCGCGCAACAAGCGGCTGTTCGATGTGGGCGTGTCGGTGTATCCTGGCAGCGACGTGCAGCTGACCTACTCGGGCGTGCACCACACCTTGGAGGCTGGTCGGCGGCAGTTCTTCTCCAAAATAAAGAGGCAGGTGAGAGGTCAATGAGTGGGCGTGTCGGTGAATGCCGAGGATGGCGTTCAGCTGACTTACTTGGACATGCACCACACGTTGAAGACTGGGAGAGAATGTAGGTGCCTAAGATAGAGATGCGGGCGAGGCTTAGACGATGCTCAGCTGATTCACTGGGGACCAGGCTTTGACGACTTGGCAGGGGGGGGGTAATGGGCGAGATGGGCTGGCGGGGAGAAGAGCGAGGAGATGGGAGCATGTGCGAATGAATGGGATGTCGGTGTGAGAAAGGATGCCGTGTAGCTCGCTTACTCGGGCGTGCACCACACTTTGAGAAGCAGGAGAAGCAGGAGAAGCAGAAGGCAGAAGGCGGTGTTTCTCGATGGAAAGAGAAGCGGGTGAGGGAGTGTGAGAGGCTTGAGAGTGCATGGGCGCTGCAGTGCTTGGCACGGATGTTGTCCAGCTGACGCACTCAGAGCTGCATTTCACCTTCACGCCTGGCTTTGGGAAGTTATTTTGTCCATTCTGATACAGCAAATGAGCTCTTTTTGGATCTAGGATAGATGAACGGGTGAGACGATAGGGGAGGGTGGGAAAGTTGGGCTCCCCACCTTGACCGTACTGCTCACCCTCTGCTTCCTCCCCTTCCCCCCCACCGGGACGTGCCCCTGTGCCATGTGTCGTCCCTTGCCCCTGCGCCATGTGTCCTCCCTTGCCCCTCCACCACGTGTCCTCCCTTGCCCCTCCACCACGTGTCCTCCCTTGCCCCTCCACCACGTGTCATCCCATCTTCTCACTGCCGCTGCAAGTGGAGGCAGGGACTGGCACTTGGGCCTTCCTTTCGTTTTTCCTCCAGCAGGAGATGCCCCTCTACAGGCCGTCCTCGCACTGCCAGTACAATGCTGGGACGGCTGCTGTGGGACGTTGGGATCCTTCCCCCTCCCCACCTTGCCCTCACTGCTCGCCCTTCCCTTCCTCCCTCTCCCCCACACCGCGTCGTCCCTTGCCCCTACACCATGCATCCTCCCTTGCCCCTACACCATGCATCCTCCCTTGCCCCTACACCATGCATCCTCCCTTGCCCCTACACCATGCATCCTCCCTTGCCCCTACACCATGCATCCTCCCTTGCCCCTACACCATGCATCCTCCCTTGCCCCTACACCATGCATCCTCCCTTGCCCCTACACCATGCATCCTCCCTTGCCCCTACACCATGCATCCTCCCTTGCCCCTCCACCATGTATCCTCCCTTGCCCCTACACCATGCATCCTCCCTTGCCCCTACACCATGCATCCTCCCTTGCCCCTACACCATGCATCCTCCCTTGCCCCTACACCATGCATCCTCCCTTGCCCCTCCACCATGCATCCTCCCTTGCCCCTACACCATGCATCCTCCCTTGCCCCTACACCATGCATCCTCCCTTGCCCCTACACCATGCATCCTCCCTTGCCCCTCCACCATGCATCCTCCCTTGCCCCTACACCATGCATCCTCCCTTGCCCCTACACCATGCATCCTCCCTTGCCCCTACACCATGCATCCTCCCTTGCCCCTACACCATGCATCCTCCCTTGCCCCTCCACCATGCATCCTCCCTTGCCCCTACACCATGCATCCTCCCTTGCCCCTACACCATGCATCCTCCCTTGCCCCTACACCATGCATCCTCCCTTACCCCTACACCATGCATCCTCCCTTGCCCCTCCACCATGCATCCTCCCTTGCCCCTACACCATGCATCCTCCCTTGCCCCTACACCATGCATCCTCCCTTGCCCCTACACCATGTGTCCTCGCACTGGCAGAACGAGTTGCACGAGGGGCTGGTGAGGAGCGTCATTTCCCCCCTACGCTCCCCGCCACTGTGCCCCTACCCTACCACTCAACCTTTTCTTCATCCGTCATCCCCCCACCTGGCAGGACGTGCCTGTGTTCCGCGCGTCGTCGCACTGCCAGTACGAGTGGCGGCAGGGGCTGGTCGAGGACGTGTTCGCCCTCGTGCCGCACCACAGCTTCGGGCACTGCAACAACAACATGAATGGCAGTGATGCCGAGCTGCAGCTGTACCCTGAATGCACGCACCCGTGAGTAGCAGAAGAGCAGTGAAGCATGAAGGGCACCAGCATATTCGTTCCTCTCTCCAATCTCTCACTCACGGCTGCCTGCATTGTTGTCCAAATTTTACTACATGCAGCTATACCAAAGGGGGGTGTAGTTACCAGCGTGCCACGAACTCTGCCTTCATTAGAGTCCTCCACCCCTTTCCCCCTCACTTCAACACAACCGCATACATTGCCACCTTTCCCCCCGGCATCCCCCACCATGCAGGATGGTGAGCGTGCTGAAGCAGGAGATCACGGCGTGCGCCATGTCGCACTACAAGTTCATCCTCAGCACCGAGAACACGCGCCTCAACGGCTACGTTACCGAGAAGGCGCTGGAGCCGCTGGAGGCGGGCACGGTGCCCATCTACTACGGCGCGCCCGACATCCGCAACTACATGCCGCCCGACTCGTTCATCGATGGCACCAAGTACACCGCGGCGCAGCTGGCAACGCTCATCACAGCGCTGAATAACGATCCAGGTGGGGGGCTGTGTTATAGGCCGGAAATGGTGTCATGATTGATACTCATGGGTTTGCTGTCTCATGGGTTTGCTGTCTCGTCGTGAAAGCATTGCGCCTGCTACCAGTATGCTTTCTCTCACAGCTGTTTGCCTTCTTACTTCCCGTGCATGTGCAGTCAAGTACATGAACTACTTCGCGTGGCGCATGTGTGGAGTTCCGGGTCCCTTGGCCCATGTGACCGCCCTCAACTTTGATACCTTTCCCTGTAGATTGTGTGAGGCCGTCAGTGCCAAGGGGGGCAGAATGTTCTAGCCAGGCCCCTAGATTGCAGGAAAATTATCCTGATTCAGGAAAAAAACAGACCCCGTTGGCGGGCCGGTCCTGATTGCGTAGGGTTTTTTTTGTTCGGCATCCTGTTTTTTCAGCGGTTTTTTTGTAGTGAACTCTGATCACTCCGCATGGTTTATGTAACGCGTCCTGGAATTTCTGACACTCTAATGCATACGCATCCTGATTTTGTCAATACCGGGATTTGCGCTCCCCGCTCTCCCCCCCCCCCCCCCCCCCTTCCCCCCACGTGTTTCCCGCAAATCATGTCAAGGTCCCTGAAATTTCGCCCAAGTTACCGACCAGCCGAGTCATATGCTGCCCAGCTCACTGCACGGTGACAACTGATTGGCTTAGGGCGGAACCTACTATCAAACAGTGAAATTGATGAATAGAGAGAGAGAGTACACAAACATATACCTAACTGTTGTACTCTCTAGAAGATGACCCTATACAGTCTATACAAGCATGATAACTAAACATGTTTGACACACCCCCTGGACTGCATAGGGGAATGTTCTAGACAAGCAGCTCAGGGTGGCACTACTAGTCCAGCCTCTGAGACAAGGGTCTAAAAGACCAGTCAGAAGGAGTACAGGCAAGGCAAGAACTAGTACAGGGCGGCACTACTAGTCCAACCACTGTAAGAGGACACAAGTCCAGTCTGAGTGTACACACAGATATATAGGACAGTACAGAGTCAAGGCCCGAGTAAGTGAGAGACTACAGGAACCAGACCAAGCTGTACACAGTGCCGCTGATGATCTTTAGGCGCAAGCGCCTTCGTAAAGATATCAGCTGTGTTGGCACCGGAGGCTAAGTGTACTACGCGAGCCTGGCGACGCTGCTGTAGCTCACGCAGGAGGAAGTACCGCAGCTGGATGTGCTTCGCTCTGCCCTCGAGTCGAGGCTCCTGACACAGGAGGATCATGGCCCTGTTGTCAGCGTACAGGACCGGGGCAGAGCTAGGCCGCTCACCTAAGTCAGTGAGCAAGAAGGTCAGCCAGCGGAGCTCCTGTGCCGCCATGGCACCGGCGTAGATCTCGGCCTCACAGCTGGACTGGGCAACAGACGAAGAGCGGGTAGCTCTCCACGAGACAGCACCTGAACCAAGGCTAAAGCAGTAGCCCTGGGAAGACCTGAGCGTCTCGGCGTCGTCTGCCCAAGAAGCGTCTGTGTGTCCAGTAAGGACCACTGGCCTGCGTCCGCCTAGCACTAACCCCATGCCCGATGTACTTGCAAGATAACGCAAAACCCTCTTAGCGGCAGACCAGTGCTGAGGTCGGTGCCTGCCTGTGGCCACGAAACGAGCCAGGATGCTGAGAGGGTATGCGAGATCTGGGCGAGTGCAAGTCATCAGGTACATGAGGCAACCCACTAGCTCAGCGTAAGGACCACTGGGATCTACCGACTCCTCAGGAACTGGAGCGGAGAGTCTGTGGTCCAGAGGAAGAGGGGTGGGCTGTGCGGAGGAGAACTGAAGGCCGAACCTCTGAAGGACCTGGCGCACCAAGTGTGACTGAGTCAGGGTGATGGTGCGCGCGGCTCTGTCCCTGGAGATCTGCAAGCCAAGGTAACGGCGCAGCTCTCCAAGGTCAGTGCAGGTGTGTCTCTTCAGCAGCTCTGCCTTCACGGAGGCCAGTGCGTCCCTGTCAGCAGTGGCAAAGACCAGGTCGTCTACGTAGACGAGGATGTAGAACGGAGTCGAGCCAGCACGAACGAAGAGCGAGGGGTCTGCAGAGGACGGAAAGAACTGCAGGTCAGCAAGGGTAGCACGCAAAGTGTCGTGCCACTCACGAGGCGCCTGGCGCAGGCCGTAGACTGGCCGCCGCAGAAGCCACTGGGTCCCAGGGGGGAAGGTGCCAGTAAAGCCCTGAGGGCGACGCAGGTAGACCTGCTCGTGAAGGCTGCCCTGAAGAAAGGCAGTGGAGAAGTCGAGGGAGTGAAGCTCGTAGTCACGCTGAGCCGCTACGTGTAGCAGCACCCGAAGAGTAGTCATCTTCGGGGTAGGAGCGAAAGTCTGAAAGAAGTCCACCCCCTCGCGCTGACTGAAGCCTCTAGCCACGTAGCGCGCCTTGAACACAGGCGGCTCTCCAGGAGGGCGCTTCACCTTGAAGAGCCAACGGCCATCGACCACGTTCACCCCAGGTGGGGGAACTGCGTCGACGAAGGTGCCGGTGGATCTCCAAGATGCCATCTCCTGCTCCATGGCAGCTATCCACTGAGAGGCCCAGGGTCCCGAAACCGCCTCAGCGTAAGTACGAGGGGTCGGGATGTCGAAAGCGTCTGGGTCACCCTCAGGGACTAGCAGCATGGAACAGAGATGGGGAGCAGCCTCGGACAGGAAAGCAAGCTCAAACTGGCGGTCCTCCAGGACGTCACTGCCGAGGGCAGGAGCACCCCCGACAGACGGAGGACAGGCAGGGTGAGAGACCAGAGCGGTGGCGTAGTCAAGGCGGCGGGTAGAGGCGAAGTCAGCGACCGCAGCGACGAGGGCGTCAAGACTCGACACGGGAACAGACGGGTCGGTAACGAGAGAGGCAAGGACCCGAGGAACAAGAGGACGAGCGGCACGAAAGGAGTCGGACAGAGGAGGAGACGCAACGACAAGAGAAGACGGAGGAGGAGACGGGAGGAGGGGAGGTCGAGACGCGTGGGAACGGAGCAACATAGGGTGAGAGCGCGGGACAGGGGAGACAGGACGAGCACGAGAGGGGCGGCGAGACCAGACGTGTGAGGGCGGCGTCGGGTCAGGAGACAGAGGAGGGGACACAGGAGGGGAACGAGGGGGAAGACGAGCCGGGGACGAGTCTGGCAGAGGGAACACGGGGCCGTAGATGGGAAGAGGGGGAGACGGCAGGAGAGGAACAGGCGCAGGGTCAGGAGACGGAAGGCCGAGCAGACGGAGGGCGGACACAGGCGGGGACTGCTGCTGCGGCGACACAACACCAACACCAGGGCCACAAGCTGCGCGACGGCTACCTCCCGAACCCTCCACACCTGCACCCCCAGAAGGGACACCCCCAGAGTCCACAAACGGCGGCAGCGACGACAGCGGCGGCGGCGGCGGCGGCTGCAGCGACGGCTGCGACGGCGGCGGCGGCGGAGACGACGGCTGCAACGGCGGTGGCGGTGGAGACGACGGCTGCAGCAGCTGCGGCGACGGCGGCTGCGGAGGCGGTGGAGGAGGAGACACCGGGGGAGGGACAGGCGGCGAGGACTGCGCCGGAGGACTACCAGAGTCAGAAGACTCGTCGACCGGGACGACCGACGGGAGGGGGGTGACGTGAGACACACCAGAGGGGGCCGGACGGGGGGGCGGGGGGGGGGGAGGGGCAGGGACCACCAGGGAGGGAGGAACCAGGAAATGGGGGGGAGTAACCGGGGGACCACGGTGGGGAAAGCGGCGGTAGAAGGAGACGGACTCGTCAAAGGTGACGTCGCGAGAGTGAAAGAAGCGGTGAGACGGCGGGTGGTAGAAGTGCCAGTCGGACGCGTCAAGGGGGAAACCGAGGAAGACGCAGGGGAGGGTGCGGGCAGTGAGCTTGTCCGCGCCAGAGGCACGAACGTGAGCAAGGCAGCCCCAGACGCGGAACGCAGACGCGTCACCAGGGGACCCGGTCCACAGAAGGGTTGGCGAAACCTGCGGCCGCTGGGGGTGCGGCCACAGGTTAAGCTGGTGAGCGGCGTAGCGCACGGCGAACGGCCACAGAAAATGGGGTGCACCGGCGTGGATCATGGAGGTGCGAGCCACCTCCATGACCAAACCGATGCGTCGCTCAGCGACCCCATTCTGCTGCGGGGAGTCCGGCAGGGTAAACGTCTGGGTGATGCCCTCCGCACGACAGAAGCGACCAAGGACACCTGAGGCAAACTCGCCACCCCGGTCGGAGTGAAGGCGCAAGGCAGGGAGACCGCGGTGGAGACGAGCAGAGACAAGCCAGGGGATGAGAACGTCAGGCACGTCGGCCTTCCGCTCCAGGGGGAAGACGGTGGTGTAGCGCATGAAGTCGTCGACAAGCACTAGGAAGAAGCGCTCGCGACGCGGCCCATGGACCGGGGCTGGGCCCCAGACGTCCATGTGCAGAGTCTGCAGTGGTGCGGTGGTAGGGGGAAAAGAGGAGGAGTGAGGGGCATGGCGGAGCCGGCCCTCGACACAAGGCGTGCACGGTGGGGCGGGGGAGGAGGGAAACTCGGGGAACGAACCGGGGAGACCAAGGACGAGACCGTGCTGGGACATGTGACGCAGACGCGGGAGTGCAGGGTGACCAAGGCGGTGGTGCCAAAGGAGAGTCGGGTGAGTGAGGGACCGACAGGAGCACGCGGCTGCAACCTGGGTGGACGCAGCTACCGGGGGGGAAGACCCAGCCGGGGACGGCGCGGTGTCAAGTGTGAACAGGCCGGACACCGGGTCCCGGGGGAAAGTGGTAAGGGGGGCACCAGAGGCGGCCTCGGTACAGACAGCATACCGCTCGTGACCAGGGAACGTAGTGGTGACGCCAAGGTCCTGGAGGCAGCCGACACCAACTAGGTTCCTGGAGAACGAGGGGATATGCAGACCTGTAAGAGTGCCCGAAGGAACCGCCGGACAGGAAAGGGAGGTGGAACTGCGGGCAACGACGGGACCACCGGAGGGGTCAGCAAGAGTAACTGCAGCGGGAACAGGCAGCGGCGTCAGCGTCGTGGAGTCGCGGAAGAAACACCGGGAGGCGCCAGAGTCCAAGGTGAAGGAAAGCGCAGCAGTCGCGCGAGGCAGCAGTGAAGCGGTGGAAGCACCAAGGCTAAGCAAAGCAGGAGATCCTACGCCTGACGCAGCAGGGGAGGCTACGCTAGGCACCGCTACACTAGGCAACACGGGGTAATAAGAGGGAAGCACACTAGAGTCATCAGCATACATCACATGCAAGGCCGCTACAATGGCATCCATGTCCAAGTCAAAAATCCTAATGCTACGCCTAAGCAAGCTGTGCCAGTCCGGGAGGTCGGGCGCCGGGCCAAAGCGCTGGCGGAACAGGTCGTCCAGGCGACGAAAACAGCGAGGAGTAGAATGACCGATCTTACCGCAAACGAAGCCGCGGCGAGGACCGGTCTGGATCTGGTACTGACAGGGCCCGCCTCCAGAACCACCACCCGGTGCACCACCACGCGCACGACCACCACCAGCTCCAG